ATTTTTTTTTCCACAGAAACATATGAACTAGGGTGAAAGATTAAAGGACACAAGTGACATTTTTTTGCTCTTCTACCCAAACTAGAACAATGAGGCAACAAACTACCTGTGCTTTTGGAAAGCGTTGAAGATATTGTTAATCTCAAAACCAGGGTTCATAATAATGGTTTAGTTACCTTTTACAAAATAATAATTAGCATTTCTAATTACCTTGAGGGATTTTAGAAGTCATATTTACTTGGTTCAAATCTAAGGAGTTTTTCTTCCATGAATCTGAAACCCTCCACATGCAGGTTTCTGCCCTGTAATCCATCCTTTTTGGAACTGAATGACAAATAGTGCTCTAACACAATTTAACAGAAAATAATAATGGAACTGAGACAAAAAAAAAAGTTATTTCCAAAAAGAAAAGAAAACTGCAGCATACCACGCTAAACCCAAACACCAAAGCAGGAATGTATTTCTGAGCTCCTTTATGCTGCACAAAGACACAATCAGTACCACTACATCTGGGTACACACAGAAGTCAGAGCAAATAGCATAGCAACTCTGCCAGATACTAAGTGATGCTAGATGTCTTTAACTGCATCTAGTAAAAAAACCCATATATTAAAAGTCCATCTACTATCAAAAGGCACTACTGAATTATTTTCACATTGCAATATTTATCAATAGTTGGATCCTTTCCATTGCAGCCTAAAATCTCAACTGAAATTATTGTATATTACCAAAGCACAACCAGAGGTCTGAACCTTAAAGTGAAAAGGACTCTTTACACAGTAATGACAAAATTAGATAATGGCACCACTGATACTATTCTGTTAAATAACTTCCCTTAACTGTAAGGGAAGCTACTTTAATGTTCCAAGGGCAGAAACTAGCCAATAAGCAATACAGGCAAAAAAAGCTGCTGTTGCCAATATGCCCTTTCAGACGTATATATGTATTTATGTGTATATAAATGTATATAATACTTACAAATCTGCAGTACACAGAAACACCAGCCCTCCTTTTCCTGTTTTTTCTTCTAGAAAAAAAACCAATGTTCATAACCCTTTCCTTCTCTCCTGGCCCCTTCGACAGAAGGGCATTACTGTATGTCTGTGAAGGATTACTGCAGTCAGTGTTACAGAAGAGAAAACTAAAATACAACCTGCTTGCACAGTATCCCCCATGCAGAAGTGTTCACACAAGCTTCCTTATCTGAGAGAGAAATGTGTTCCTGGGCTAGCCCTTCCTCTTCACACAACAGATATGCTTCTTTGAAGTGAACTTGGTCTTGTTAAACAAGAGCTGTACTTTAAATCCTGGAAGAAACCTTGAGTTTCACTAAGACTCAGGAAGACAGCTGCCTGCACATACACAAGCCAATAATCCATGTAGTTTTAAGCTGTATATTGGTTAGAAATGGCAGAAAAGAAACACAGAACACACTGCAGAAGAGAAAGAAAACCAGAAAGGCTTGTGAAAAGATTTTTCTTAATTTGAGATGCCATTAACTGAAAGTAAATGGCATTAGCTACAAATTACAATACCATCAGAATTGGATATTGAGCATTCAAAATGTTAACAGCAGAAATTTTGTAGAAACCATTAAAATGACTCTCCAGCAGTTGGGGTTTTTTTTTTGTTCCATAGATATGCAGAAAAGCAGACACATAAACACAGAGCTGCTAGAGCTGTAATCAGAAATGGGGAATACTAATATCCATAATCCCTCATCACCAAACCGACAGGCAGAAATTAGCATCCTACTAAAAAAGATACCCGCCCAGCAATCTGGCATAAAAATATCAGCCATAGCACATGGCCTTTTATTTCCTCTCATATGTATTTCATTTGAAAGTAAAAAGAAAAGGCAACAGAAAAACAAAACAAAGTTTGAACTTGTCTGCCTGTCTAAGCCTTGAGTATGCTGCCAGAAGAGATGACCCATGAACGTAAAAACTGCTCTCTACAACTCAATTTCCCCATACGTAACATTGATAACTGAAGCACTTAGTGTTAAACAAGGCCTACATGAGCAAAGCAAACATAAATTCAGTAGCAATACAGAACAGTAAAAACAATTGCCAAATATAAAGTTTAACATTTTTAAGTAATTTGTACTAACAGTCAGTCAACATCATCAGCACATGAGGAGAACTGTCTTAAAATGATACTGTGATACCTCCATGGGTGGTGGTAGACACTAAGGTGCCACAGAACCAACTAAATTTGAAGCAAGTATCACATAAAAAAATACCAGAATTCTTATATTCCCATATTACTGTAATATAGTGTCTCATACCAATCTTATGCCATATTGCACAATTCAGTCTATTCTCTCTCCAGGCTATTGAGCTTCCACTTCTCCCTGAAGCTCAGGCTTGCTATCCACTCTTCTGTCAGGGGGGACAAGGAGCAAGAGTTGTCCTCATTTTTACTTTTCTTATGGCATTACTGTAATACAATCAATTGGCATAGAAAAGATGGCTAAAGAAAGAGAAGGCCAGTGACTCCAACTCAACTTTGCTCTGTAATGAAGAGCACATCTCATAGTCTTTAGTAAGAGATCCTGTTCTTCATTATGAAATGAGACCCATCTACCCATGGTAATTCATGGCAGTATCTTGCTAGCACTACTCACAGTATAAAGTTGATTACAAACATGCCGTGACGTAAAGTGACATCAATTCCCAGTACTTTTCAGAAAGGACCGTTGCTTGTTTTGGCAGATGTAAAGCAAAATAGGAAAAACGTGCTGGGGAAATGTTCTATTTCTAGTCAAAGAAATAACTGAAATACTGGGAAAAGAAATAACATAAAAAAAAAACCACAAACAAACCAAAAATACCACCCACCAGACAGATTTTCAACTTTTTTCCTTAAGGTTATTTAAATGTTACCATCAGAGATGTTTTTGCTGTAGTGAAGCAGACCTCACAGTTATAATCAACATTATCTTTTTACAGGAAGAAGCACACAGTTATCTAAATCAGGAATATGTAATTTTCTAAATCTTTGAGGAGAAGGTATGTTTAGATGAAGGAACTACATGATTCCGCATGATTTCCCGCATGATATCCTTGTTTCTAAACTGGAGAGCCATAAATTTGATGGATGGACCACCTGGTGGATAAAGAATTGGCTGGATGTCCACATGGACAGAGTTGCGGTCAACGGCTCAATGTCCAACTGGAGACTGGTAACAAGTACTGCTCCTCATAGCAGCCTTCCAATATCTGAAGGGGGACTACAAGGGTGCTGGAGAGGGACTCTTTGTCAGGGACTGTAGCAATAGGACATGGGGTAATGGGTTTAAACCTAAACAGGGGAAGTTCAGGTTACATATAAGGAAGTTCTTTACTGTGAGGGTGGTGAGGCACTGGAACAGGTTGCCCAAAGAAGTGGCAAATGCTCCATCCCTGGCGATGTTCAAGGCCAGGTAAAAGGATGGAGCCTTGGGTGACATGGTTTAGTGTGAGATGTCCCTGCTCAAGGCAGGGGGGTTAGAATGATCTTCAGGTTCTTTCCAACCCTAACCATTCTATGATTCTATGATCTGTTTTATCTATTATATCAAAATCTGCCTACCCGAGTAGAAAAAGGTTTTTTTCCCCCACTACTTTTTCAGACCATTTTTGCAAGGACAGTTAGCTCCTACAATAGCTGCTGACCTATATCAAATTCATACTGTCAGAAGAGAGAGAGACTAAAACTAGTTTTAATTCATTCACTTCACCTGTTCTCAAAGGCAACAGACAGCTGAGTGGTTGTTGCACTATAACCAGACACAGCGTGTGCTTATTCAGCCAGAGATGAGATGCTGAATGGATGAAGGGAAGAGAAGGAGAAAGATGGTAAGACTTCAGGAACTAGTGACAGATGTCAGAGGATGGAAGAAAAGGTGAGTATATTAGGGAATGTGTTTATTCATTACTACAGTTATATAAATTGTACTTTACTTCCTTTTGGAATTACTATTGAACAACCAATTTTCTAGAAGCATTCAACAATTGCACTCTTCTTAATCCAAAGCCTAATGTTCTGAACACCAGGAACTCTACAAGTAAAACAGGTTGAACATTCCAGTAAGCATTAATTTACCTAACAGGGAATGCAATTTCTTTTTCAAGTTTTTCTTTTGTATATGCTGTGGTAATCCATGGTATAAAGGTAGATTAGGAAGAGAATGCTGACAGATCAGAATTCTTGTCCAGAGGCAAATCCTTACCTCCTTACGATAGCTACCACTCCAGTATCACATTTTACCAAGTTTTATTAACTAAGAAAGAAAATATTATATAGAAGTTCATGAATCTACCTATTCTGTGAGAGAATGGCTCCAAACCTTATAAACTTTAACTTTCTTGTTTTTAAAGGCACGCACTGAAACAAAAGCACATGCCAAATACTATTACAGTAAGCCTTCTTTAATGAGATTTTGCTGATCATGTATCAGCAGCACCACCATGTGTTAAGCAAACAAGACATTTATTGCTGAGGGATTAGTGGTATGACAGAATATAATCAACCACTTACAATTCAAGTAATGAATGTAGGCCTAAATAGTAACAATATTTTTACACCACGTTGCCATGCCAAACTTGCAAAAACCTTTAACCTATCATTCCATTTTGAGTAATATTAGAATCTTAAAGAGTTTAAAAAACCCCACACAACTAATGATTGAGAAATACCCCTGAGAAAGACTACATAAGATCTAATGTCAGATGCAGTGAATGGATTCAGTATATCACCCCATGCAAGTTGGGAAAGAGGGAGGGGAAAAGGGAAAAGGCTTTGCTCACTAGTATGATTCTACGACTGGCATGCATAAATACCTCAGAAATACTGTCAAACTAACTGCAATATTGCTTAGCACTGAAGTTACGTAGCGTTAGTGTTCTTTACACCTATGTTTATCCTACACATCAATACTTCTTTAGAGGATGTATCAAAGGTCAAAATTTACAACATTTCAGACTATTAGGAGAGCATTTCTTAGCATTACTTACACTAACACGGGTTTTCCTGATATCTTCGGGCTGTTTAAAACTTCTATCATGGCTTGCTTCGTTTCTTCCATTCTTGCAATGTCACTGGAATCCACAACAAATATTACACCGTAGGACTCAGCATAGTAATTTCTCCAGATATTTCGAATTCGTTTTCCACCTCCTAAATCAAAGATGGTGACTTCAAAACGTCCCTGTTTAAGGTCAATCTTGGAAAACCCAACGGTTGGAGCCACGTCTTCAGGAGACTCTGCCAGAGTTCAAAGAAAGGCTTCAGTAAAAAGTGTCCTTAGGTATTTAAAGGGGTTTTTACATCATGATTTGTGTAGCAATATTAATAGTTTAAAGACATGGAGCAAACCAACCCAGTTAAGTGACACCATATTGCTAACCACATAGTTTTTACCTTAATATTTTCCCTCTCCTTAGGTAACTTCAAATTAGCACACTAGTGTATCAACCAGTTACTTCACGTTAATTTAGATAAGGGCACTGGGAAGAGGGAGGGGGACAAAAAATTCCATCCTTTTTTAGATTGTCATGCCATATGTTCACCCTTTTCAGAGGGCAAAGAAACACTGTATTTGCCTCACATCACTAAGCTCTCTACTGTAGGGATGAGTTACTTGGATCTCTCTGTTTTATGTGCTTGGTAGCACAAGGTGAGAGAAACAGATGTCAAATTCAGCTTGTTGAGAGGAAGAAATGAGGGCATGGTCAGAAGCACTGAGCTCTAAAGAGCAGTGCAAAAGCTGAATCACCATTAGCCTTCTGCTACCATGTTTCTCTTCTGAAAGAATCCTTTACACACAGCTGTGATGGGCATTTAGGACAGACCCCTTGGCCAGAACAGTGTAAGCCAAGACTCTACCAAGAGAAGGGTCTGGGACCCCCCAGTTGTGAAAAACTACAGCTTCGAAACTCAACAGACTTAATTCTGAAGAATGATTTGCATTGTGAACCGTAAGTATGGGCTCTTACCAAAGAGTACAATGTGAACATAAGGGTTGGTTAAGGCTGAAAGTTATTGATGGTGCTGAATATAAAGGGATATTGCTGAACCATCAGCTCCCATTGTATGGTGAAGTCTCCAATGATGAACAATCTTCAGTGTAAAAATAGGGTCTGCCATATAAGCTGCAGATCCATTCTGGCAAATATAACTTTGGTAACCATGCTGATTTACCTAGGTTTAAGACACCCAAGCAGACATAACTGCAGCTTCCTCCTATAGTCTGTATGGCTGGTACACAGCCAAAAATACTGGTGTTATCAACCCTGAAGCCTAACTGAAGGTTCTGATCTCTGCAAGCAATGTTAAAAGGGACACCACACTACTACCCTTGAAAAAGATGTAACAGACCACTACCTGGTCTACCTTAGCTCAACAGGATGCGCAGTGGCCAACGAGCAGATGTGGAGCTTGCTCTGCTAGTTCTCCTGATCATAAAGCACAAGACTAGGAGTACCTACTTTTTAAGTCACCCTAGGATGATTTATCAGATACCAAAATTCAGGATCGTCACGTTTCAAAGGTAAGATCCCTTCATTCTTTTATCATCTGCAGGTCTTCACAAAATAGGGCCTGTGACACGCTCACTTTGGCAACCACACATGTACCACTTTTGGCAGTACAATCACAATGTTTTCTTTCAACAATATGGGAGGCAGAGATGAATTAAGAGATAAAGCACTATTTAAAGATTTAAATGATGGAAAATTAGTAATTATACTCTCACTTTCAATGCTCCATGTAGATGATCAACAAATGAATTGCTTACCTCCTTGAATTCCTCGGACTGTAGCAGTTTTACCAGCGTTATCAAGACCCACCATTATTAGTGTCACCTTCCTCCATAAGGAGAAAAAACAAGAAAAAACCAAAAAAGATATTTCAAACCTTTTTTTCCTCTACATAGACATCACTTATATTTTTTTAATACACACGTAGAAAACTTAGCATAAAGTCGTAGAAAGAATAGGCAGCAAAATACAAAGTAGCAGGCATTGCTACAGTTGCGTATCTGGTGTTCAATACATCATAGAATCACAGACTGGTTTGGGTTGGAAGGGACCTTAAAGTTCATCCGAGTTCCAGTCCCCTGCCAAGGGCAGGGACACCTCTCACTGAACTAGGTTGCTCCAAGCCTTGTCCAACCTGGCCTTGAACACTTGAACACAGATGGGGCAGCCACAGCTTCTCAGGGCAACCTGTGCCAGTGCCTCACCACCCTCACAGTATATAGAGTTTATTCCTGCTATCTAAATCTCCCCTCTGTCCAACCATCTGGTAAGAACAACAGACAAAGGCATGAAATGGTACGTCTAATACTGGACTGTGAATTTCAAGTAAGATAACAATTTTGCTCTCAACTTTTATCTGCCTTTTGAAATTTAAGTTCACAGCATTGTAAATTTTATTATTTTTGTAATTTCATTTCCATTCCCCTGTATTTTTGCCATCTCTCTGCCTCAAAGTTGTGCCTGTATTAGGAATTTATTTCTACCTCAACCAGTGCATCTGAACAACACTATACAGTACACAACACTTGTGTAGACAACATCAGATGTTTTAAATAAGTGGCACTGGTACTCATTGTGCCTTTGTTTCAAGCAGGAGCAATCTAAAGTGCAAATGTGTAAAGCAGTGGTGTTAAGTAAGTATTTTATATATGCAAACTGTTATACAGGTTAGAATTGACACCACGATAGGATTTTAAACAAAGCAAGAGGAAAAACATATCTACATATATACCTCAATTGTTCCCCTCATTCACAAAGACTTAAGAGTAGTCAAAAGAATTCACTTCTTTTTATGCCCCTTTAAGTGAAAGAATACTAAACCCATTGTTATTTCTGGACTCCAAGCTGTGATAGCATCATATATGAAGTATAATTTATGATGGTTCTTTCAGAAGAGCCAAAAACCTCTGAGGAAAGAACCTAAAAATTAACAGTAGGATCTTAGAAAATTATACTTTAACAGTAGGCTAAAATCTGAAAAGCCATGGACATTTATAAACTTACAAGTGTCTATAATACATTGGTGATGTTAGAAAGTTATTCAACCCAATATAGTTCTTTGAACAGCATCACCTTCTGTAAAACCTAAATAACGTAGCATTGAAGAAGACAGCAAATCCTTTTACATGACTGTGAAGTCTAAATGAGTGTGGTGCAGCTTTTCTTTCCCTTCCCCATAGTTTGCAAGCAGTTTGAAACAAACTACGTACTACCTGTGCATGTCTGCTAACTGGAGGGAAAAGGATGCAGAATGTCAAAGTAAAAGCTACAGAAACAAACGAGAACAGCAGAATTCCATGGATTTTGCCACAGGATTAAAAAGTCCAAAACAATATTATATAGCAGATAAAATAAAACATAGGTGAAATATAGTTTGGGAAGGTCATTACAGAAACATGAAATACTTTCACATGTTTACCTGACAGGTTCCTGCCACCGTTTTAACCAGCTGCAGCAATTGGCCATTAGACTGAACATCCCTCTTCATTAGCCATCAATAGACACAAAAGCTACAGAAACAATGTGGACAGGCCAGAATAACCCAAGAGAGGCTGCAGAGGTCCAGGCGTTGTCTTGTCACTGCTAGCAAAAAGAAAGAAATGCATAGTTAGCCCTTATGTTTAACCAAGGCAAGCCATTCCCTTAGCAGCAGCCTGTCTATTCACAGTGAGTCATATTCAGTCAGTCCTACGACAGTCTCATGCTTCATCTCCCCCCATTTTACATATCTGGGCAGTAACACAGTACTCATACAAAAAGTAATGCAAGCCTATTGCACACAAGGAAAGCCTGCAAGTTAGAGCAATAAGACACTGATATTCCAGTGCCTGCCTCACTAACACATCCCACAGCTCTGCTGGTTGACAAAAATATAAGGACCAATTTCAAGCACGAGTAAGGCTTGTAAGAACTTTATGGGATAACGCATTAAGAGCAAACAAAGAATGTCCTACCTGTTCAATATAGCTATTTAACTGCTAATTTCTTTTACATGAAGAGATCCCACAACAAGGAAACTGGGTTCTCTAGTGAGTACTTTGAGGAGCTGGCACCTTAATATATAGTAATTGTCAATAAATTAAATCTAAGTACCAAGCACTTCCATAATTTTACAATCCCACTTCCCACATTTCAAGCAGGATAAAGAAACAGAGAATATTAATGTTGCTCTGTGGAACAAACAGCAGGGACAAACTGTGTGATCACATGCATATTTATTGCTTTGTATGCACACTTAAGCTATGAAACAGTAAAGCTTACACAAACCATGCAGTCAAGTGCACAACAATGCAAAAGCTTTAAAGCTCTCTTAATTATTCAGCTACAATAATCCTACTGCGAACAATTGCAGATGTCCAAGTAAAGACGTTCCAACAGCAAGCTTTGGGCAATTTTACTCCAGGAGTTCAAATCCATAACCTCCCTGGTGGATGATGTACCAAGTCTGGCTGTTATTTTCTTCACAGCAGCCAGTATGGTGCTATTCTCTGTATTTTTGGCTAAACCAACACTGATAACCAAGAATATTTTGGCTATTACTGGACAGGATTTGCATAGCACCAAGGCTTTCTCTCTTTCCCACTCTGCCCTGCTCCTCTCTCCCTGCAGCCAGAAGGCTGGTATGGGCAAGAGGCTGGGAGGGGATGCAGCCAGGACAGCCAGCCCCAATTGACAGAGGGTCATTCCATACCATGTGGTGTAGTGCACAGCAAAAATTAGCTCAGGGAAAAGAGGAGGAAGGGGGAATGCTCTTGGTTATTGTGTTTGTCTTCCCAAGGAACCATTAAGTGTGCTGAGGCCCTGCTTTCTTGAAGGTGGCTGAACATCTGCCCAGCGTTCTGCTTAAGCATGCAGTTTCTGCCTTCCCCATTATCTCTATCCATGAGTCTTCTCATCTTCCTGCTATCTTCTCCCCATCTTGTGGGAGACGGGAGTGAGCAAGTCACTGGGTGCATGCTGTTGGGCAGGGGCAACCCACTAGACTCCTTGGTGCTAATGTGGGCCTAAAGATAATGACAGCTTTGATCTGAGCACATTACAGTTGTTAATTGGCAGGCACCTGTGATGGTCACTAGGCTTTCTTATTTTACTGCATATCAGAGTCCAGTGCTTGTTAGTAGTTGGAAAAGGTTGTTAAGGTTGCTCCTCCCTTGGGATAAGGCCAAGCTGTTTGTGGGATTATGTTTGCTCAAGTGCACCTGGTGGGTAATGTGGAAGAATGGGGAAATTCAGTTTATAACTCCAGGAGATTTAAACTTGGGAGAAATAACTCATGATTTGAGTCATATGTTACAGGAACAGTATAGCAGGAATCACTTGAACCAAAGGAGGATGAGCCTTGTAAGGAACCACGAGTGTGGTGATGACTCAATTCAAGTGGGTCTTGGCAACTAACAGTCCAACATGCCACCTTACCTTCTGTGAGTGCCCACCTCTAGATATGGAGCCCAAGTCATCAACTGTCCCTATCTGGGGAAGTCGGGGGGGGTTATGGAATAGAGAAATAATATCCATATATATGGCATGGGACAAGGGATGGTGGATAATGACATAGTGATCTCCAAAGAGAAGAGAACCCTTGCAGAAGGAATGTGCTCTATCACCTCAGCTCATAGGCTCATATCATCTTAGATCCCATTCTGATCAGGAGCTTAAGTTAAAACAACTAGATTCATATTAGAGCAGCTGAGATGTAGATAGATGCTCCCTACTGCTAACTTGCTTTCATGAACAGAGTACTAACAGAGAGTACTGACACTTCAGATTACCACAGCAAGTTTCCTAAAGTTTGTTTCTCAACATTCTTTCTTGTTCTTAAAGAAATTCCTTTAATTTTCAATTACAACTAACTCCAATCTGAGATTATAACAACTTTTTACAGGTTGTCACCTCCCCAGTCTAGACCAATAAAAGCAGGAAAAAACTGAGGAGCTATCCCTAATAAACATATTTGTCCCTAACAAACCATGATGGTCTAGGCAATTTATGCAGGTAGAAACTAAGAACTCCTCCCATTCTCATAAAGCTGCAGTATTCAAGGATGCCTTTTGTGGATCTGTCATTATTAAATGTCAGAAACAGGTCAGATTTCTTCCTTTCTTCCTGAGAAGGGACAGCAGATACTCTTTAAATATTTTATTGTTCCACAAGAGCACCTGAGAAGAGCTATCCACAGGACAACTTAATGTAAGAGGAACAGAGCTCCTAAAAAGGAGAGCAAGATGATTACCACTACTGAAGTATTAAAATCAGTCTCCGAAGAATCAAACAAAAAGCCCCAACAAACCAAAGAAAACCCCCAAACCCACATGCAGTATATGGTGCCTCAGCCCACAAGCAGCACCAACAAAGCTAACTTTGAGAACAGCTACACAAGCTAGCTCTGCTGAAAATCAAAATGTAACAGCTCAATGAACAATGCCCTGATAAAAACATAACGCTTTCAGTGCCTGAGCATCATCACAGAACAACATTATACAGATTTGCTGTGCTTGCAAATGGTGACGCAATTGCTCTAAAGCACATATATGGCCCATACCGTTCAAATGGGATTCGTGACATGAAGAAAACTTTGTTGAAGACTAAGGAGCAGAGGATGGCTACGTCAAAGCAGAGGAATCTTGTTTAAAAACGAAACCCTAAATGGGGGTGGGCAGGAGGTGACAAAATTTCCAAAACATTCCACTGTAGGAGGAAAGGGCATTCAACACAGCCGAGAAAATTATGGTAGGGAGGCAAATCACAATGTGTTATGCCATTCTGGAGACACTTGACCTCTGAAACATGTATGGAACACAATGCATGTATTTTATACGTTGCATTAACGACATTCAGAAGTCGTTCCAGATACTGTATCAGTCAGCTTAATTTCTTTATGCTTGTTGAGGCGAAGCAAAACAACATGCCCATAAGCTCAGAAAGATATAAAACTGTAGTTAAGCCAGTATACCATTTAGGTAGCAGGTCAGCACAAGTGTCAAGGACTAAGAATGTCAAAGATCCTGTTTTTAGGTAAGAAAACAGAAGAAGCGTACTACAGAGACTGAGAAAAACATGACAGATAACTGCATTAACGCTTAATACTCAAGATTAAGATCAGCATCTTACATATATTTAGCAGCCCATATGTTATGTGATCCAAAGTACTGGGTACCAGCAAGTCCAACATCCAAAGATATCTGATGAATAAGTTTATCTACTTCCATATCAAAGTGGAAAACAAGCACCATTTACACATTTAACTGCCAGAGCTCAGATTAGATGTTCTGCCTTTGGAAGAGTCTTTTTACAGTAGAGATTTTTTTCTGTCATATCATGCTTTCACTTTTTTTAAAGCATAATTAAAGAAACCATTTAAGGCTAACCCTCCTCATAGAATCACAGAATCATAGAATAGTCAGGGTTGGAAAGGACTTAAGATCATCCAGTTCCAACCCCCTGCTGTGGGCAGGGACAACTCACACTAAACGGTACCACCCAAGGCTCTGTACAACCTGGCCTTGAACACCGCCAGGGATGGAGCATTCACAACCTCCTCTGGGCAACCCATTCCAGTGCCTCATCACCCTAACAGTAAAGAACTTCTTCCTTATATCCAACCTAAACTTCCCCTGTTTAAGTTTTAACCCCTTACCCCTTGTCCTATCACTACAGTCTCTAATGAAGAGTCCCTCCCCAGCATCCCTATAGGCCCCCTTCAGATACTGGAAGGCTGCTCTGAGGTCTCCATGCAGCCTTCTCCAAGCTGAACAGCCTCAACTTTCTCAGCCTATCCTCACAGGGAGGTGCTCCAGCCCCTGTTCATCCTTGTGGCCCTCCTCTGGACTTGTTCCAGCAGTTCCATGTCCTTTTTATGCTGAGGACACCAGAACTGCACACAATACTCCAGGTGAGGTCTCACGAGAGCAGAGTAGAGGGGCAGGATCACCTCCTTCGACCTGCTGGTCACGCTCCTTTTGATGCAGCCCAGGATACGGTTGCTTTCTGGGCTGTGAGCGCACACTGAAGCTGGCTCATGTTCCGTTTCTCATTTACCAATACCCCAAGTCCTTCTCTGCGGGTCTGCTCTGAATCTCTTCTCTGCCCAACCTGTAGCTGTGCCTGGGATTGCTCCGACCCAGGTGTAGGACCTTGTATCAAGAAAATTTTATATATAAAAGAACTTGTAGCTCTAGTATAAAGAAAAGTTACTACGAGACTAGCAGATCAAGTGAGTTTCCACATCTCTTCCTCTGTTTCCAAAAAAAAGCAGCAGCCCTAAAATCCAGTCTTTGTTTTGGGCATGTTTCTTGTGCTTCTCTCTTCCACTATGGGAGTACGCTTTTTGTTCCATAAAATCAGGACTTCGGAGAAAAACTACTCCCTGTTGCTTAAAGCCCTACCACGCAGGCTGCCAACGACCCACAGCCCGAGGCTGCCACTGCGGACACACACCGATGTGTTTTGTACAACGACACTGGAGCGGAGCTGCAAGAAACTCGCCAGCTGAGCAGGGCGACCCCTCCACCGCGGCCACCTCACCCGCCGGGAGATGCCCCAGGCCCTCTCCGGAGACGCGGCCACCCGAAGGCGCAACCCCACCGACCCCGAGCTGCCAACCTCGCCTCGCCTGGCTCCCGCGGCACCCCCGCCCGCCC